TATTTTTATCTTTAATTTATAAAATTAATTAAATTTCATTTTCTATAATGTAAATCACATTCACATTCACATTTCACAAGGTTTTGTTTTGTAAAATTGTATTTATAATCCTTGTTTTGTCTTTTTATTTTACACTAATTATTTAATTGTTTGAATAGCTCTTTGACATTACACAAATTCTCTTAATTATTTGAAGAAAAAAAATATCAAACTACATCTTGGCAAGGGAGATTGTAAACATTAAAAATATAGAGGAGAATCCGTGTATTTTTGCATGACTGATGACTGTCAAGAGTGTGGATCATAATTTACTCTTTTTAATTTAATGAATTTCACACTCATTTTATTGTTTATAATAAATTTAATGAATGATATTTTTGTATACTAAAAAATGTAATATTAAATTCATTCCATTAATGCAGTTTGGAGTACTCAATGCAATGCGGTGCGAAGAGGTTGAGATCGTCGGTTCTGACTTCTGAACACTACTCTTTTGCAAATGTCAAATGATGCTTATGTAAAATAATATAAAAATGTAAAAATCTGTCTTCTAAACTTTGCTGTTGTTATGCATGGCAACATTTGGCAATAATCATTAAGTAGGTTACACGTACTTTAATTTTACACTTACCTAAACTTGAAACTTTCAAAAAGGTTTGAATTCACGTGGACGCCGGTACTTAGTTGACGCGTGTGACATGTCTTGTCACATTTCACACTATTGTTTACAAAAGAAACATCAGAAATTAAAAAGGTAGATATGTATCATGATAAAAATAATAAATGAGATAAAAAAAATTAATTTTAAAATTATTAAATATATATTATCAAGTTATATCATTATATATTTAATGTCATATTATGGTTATCAGTACATGTAACGTTTTGTTATGACTATCATATTTATAGATTCATTATTTTTAATTATAGAAATATAACTAATTATTTGGGATTATATGTTTAAAAATATTAGGATATGTACTTTATAATTGGTATGTATGTGGGTACAATTAAAATAATTATATAAATATATATATATATATATATATAGTAATATGATAAGTAAAAATTATGAGCTATAAATCAAAAAATGTCTATACAAATAAACAAAAGTATTTGTCAATTACATCGTCAATAATATAGTCCCTCTCCAACTAATCATGCCCCTCTCCAATTAATCATGCTCTACTTTCATGAAAATTATGATCATCACAATCTAAATTATATAAAAAATATATAAGGGTAAGTTAGATTCAAAAAATATACAAGTATAGGAAAGAATATTTATACTACTCACCAACATGTAAACCAATCAAAACATGTCACATGGTTTTCAACATACAACAATTGACATGTTTGAAAACTAAGCACCCAAGCAATTCAAACATTCATGACAATCATACCATACAACAAGGTATTTATCCAATGCATATGAATAACAATTAACTAACCAATGCCTATGGTTTTTGTCTTCATTTATTGCAGCAATGAAAATGACATAACAGAGAGGCTTAAGAACATAATCCAAGCAAATGCTGTTTTGCGCCAGGAATTACAAGAATCAAGTGTTTCATCTAAATTTCAGGTATAGTTCCATCTTGAGTGATCAGAGTCAAGCTTCAGTTAAAGTTTAATATTTTCTTATTCTTTATGTTAATATAAACTGCATATACAGAAGAGCAGTTTTTATGATAGATTATATGCTCATAAGTGGTTCTTTCATTTGTTTTTTAAGCATTACCATGCAGTATATGTATATTAGACTTAGTCTTTTGTAATTATCCTTTTTCTAGTATACTATCTACAAGTTGTCTACATGCCCTGTGTGTGGGATGGATTCCTTTTTGGGCTCAGGCATTTTACCTCGGTCATGAGGTGCGTCTAGTGGAATTTGAATCCTTGCACCTCAGTTTACTAACTGAACCACATGTCATGGTTGATTCATTATAATTTCTATTTTTATAAAATTTGTTTGAACTCATATAATGCCAAGGCTAGGTCTTGTATAATATTACGCATTAGAATTTGATTCTAATATAATGTTTATTTGAATTGTATACATTCTAGAGGCTTGTTTTGATGTTTGCTCGGGATTGTTCACATTTATTTGCTCTATTTTATTTTTTTTCTTTTTGTTCCATGAGGTAATGCTTTGATGATTTTGATTTAGGTTGGTTGGGATACGCTTCAATACGAAGTTGCTCAATTTATAAATAGTGATGTTCGTGGTATACCATTCTTTTTGCAATCAGCCAAGCAATTGGCTGGTCTTGTTCAGCGCATGAAAGGGAAGCAGGGACGTATCCGTAACAACTTATCTGGGAAACGTTCTGAATATACTGGCAGGACGGTTATTTCACCGGATCCTAATCTGAAGATTACTGAGGTTTGGCGTTAAAGCTTGTCAGTTATTATAAGTACTTTCTATCCTTTAGATAACACACTAGGCATTCAACCTGAAGAATAGAAATATTTGTATGTATTTTTCTTGAGAGACTAGTTACTGTCACTATAAATCTCATAAAAACAATAACACAAGGAGGTTCCCTCCATTTTTCAAGGTTCATGTTTATGTCTCCTAACTTTCTCATTTGCCCTAGGTTGCAGTACCCATTCATATGGCTCGTATATTGACTTATCCTGAGCGTGTTACACATCACAACATAGAAAAGTTGAGACAGTGTGTTAGGAATGGTCCTGATAAGTATCCTGGTGCGAGGATGCTTAAACGTGATGGAGGTCATTCATGGTTTGTACTATTTCACTGCCTGCTTTGTGGAGCTCTCAAGCCAATTTTATTTAATTTTACAACATTTTATAGCCTATTGCTATTTGCAGGTCCTTGAAAGTTCGTTGTAGGAAGCTTGCTGCAGATGAATTAAGGATTGGTGATATTGTTGATCGCCATTTGGAAGATGGAGACGTTGTTCTTTTCAATAGACAGCCAAGCTTGCATCGGATGTCAATAATGTGTCACAGGGTAATTTGTTGAAACTGAAATGTTGAATAGTGCCAAACTTGGAATCGGATGACATTCATTAATCTTTAATATTGCACATGTAGGCAAAGATTATGCCTTGGAGAACCTTAAGATTCAATGAATCGGTATGTAACCCATATAATGCTGACTTTGATGGTGATGAGATGAACTTACATGTCCCACAGACTGAGGAGGCACGTGCAGAGGCTATTTTGTTGATGGGGGTAAATCATTGGATCTCTTTGTCATTTAGGATAATAGGATTGCATGTTGACTATCTATAATGTTCTTTGTTCCAGTTGTTATTGTGTATTTTATTTTGTCAAAACTCAAAAGAATTTAATTATGAATCCTTCTGCTATGATCCTCTTATTGCTCTGCTGTGTTATTCCTTTTATGGGGCTTTCATTTGTCTCTTTCCTTCTGCTATGATCTTCTTATTGCTCTGCTTAGAGAGAAAAACAAGAGACATGGCTGACATGTTGAATTCCATGTGTGAATTACATAGTAGAGGCTCTTATTTATGATTTGAGTAAGAAGTAAAACAAAGAACTAGAATTACAATATACATTGTAATATTTCCAATTTATAATATTTCTAAAAATACCAGCATGCTCTAGGATTAGAAGATTTTGGTTCAACTATATTATTCACAACTTTTAATATTGCGTGATTTGTTCAATTTAGTGTATTTTTAAGTATTTGAGGAACTTCTTAGCTTCATTTTATTTTTCTGGGATTTTGTTTCTTTTCAGGTGCAAAACAATTTGTGCACACCAAAAAATGGCGAAATTCTAGTTGCTTCTACTCAAGACTTTTTAACCTCTTCCTTTCTAATAACCAGGAAAGATACTTTTTATGATCGTTCTACCTTTTCACTTATTTGCTCATACATAGGGGATGGCATGGATCCTGTTGATTTGCCAACTCCTGCAATTGTTAAGGTGAGAGTTGGAGCTTATAAACGTGACATGCACTAGATTCACTTACTTGTTTAGCCATTTTATTGAGTGTGTATATCCATCTGAGTATCTGAAAGGAAGGTATCCACTTACTCTTGGAGTAAGTTTTGCTTACTGAGGCCTTTGAATAACTTTTTATAATATGCAAACCAATATAGGCATCGAATAATATATCATCTCGATTATGTAGCATATCAAATTTTGAACAAATCACATGACTTAGACATTCATAAATATCATAACTATGTATTTAATGTGATAATCAAGTAATCAACACATGTTATTTAAAAATAATACTATTGGTTAAAATAGTGTTGAAATGAAATATTGACTAAGTCAAAAGTTCAATCTAATGGTTGGATTGATGCTATAAACGTTTATAATAAGTTGTTCAAATGAATAAATGTGCCGAGACTTACGTGTTAAAAGAGATAAACAAAGATTTCGTTTTCTTAATGTGTTTGAGCGAATATGCGATTCAGCTGATTAATCTATATTACTAATTTGTCACAAGAAGTCATTCATTTTACTAATTTATAAAGTCAAATGTATATATTTTCTTACTGCAATTATTCTTTGCAGCCAGTTGAACTTTGGAGTGGTAAGCAGTTATTTAGTATTATACTGCGGCCTCATGCAAATATGAGAGTCTATGTGAATCTTACTGTTATTGAGAAGGAAATGTACACAAGAGTTGATAAGGGGAAAAGAGAATTGAAATCATTGTGTCCGAATGATGGGTTTGTCTATTTTCGTAATAGTGAGTTGATCTCTGGACAAGTTGGAAAGTCTACTTTAGGTTAGTTACTCTATATTTACCTTTACTTGTTTATATCATTTCATATTGTGTGCTAAAGAAGATTGTATGAATGTAGATTTCCTTAAATTTGAGGTTGAAATTTATATTACATGCATATATCTGTCCATAGTAGTCAATAGCGGCCGGAGCGGCCGCTATCGCGGCGCTCCGGAGCGGAGCGGCCTCACCCCGCAATGTGGCTGCTGTCGCGTGGCGGATTTCTGTAGCGGCTGGAGCGGCCGCGTCGGAGGCGTAGCGGAGCGGCCCAAATCGCGGATTCGCGGGCGCGATTTCAGACTTACCCTTCATTAAGGGTAAGTCAGTCTTTTCAATGGGCTTTTTTTGCCCTAATCATCCCTTCCCTCTCGCAATTTCAGACTCATCCAAAACAAACACCTCGGCTTGTCTCTCCCTCTCTGTTTCTTCTTCTCTGGCGATCGCGTGCAGCTCCGACGAACTCCGGCTCCGACGCACCTCCGACTCCGACGAGCCTCCAGGTCCGACGCAGCTCCGACGTGGCCGCAAGCTCCGACGCGCGTTTGTCTTCTATTCTTCTTCCTCCGACTCGCGTTTGTCTTCTTCTATTCCCCTATTCTCCTTGGTTCTGTCTTTTATGCAACATGCAACATATTTTTTTTTAATTATTTATTAAATTATTTCAACTGATTTTTTTTTTAATTTTTGATTAAATTTAATTGAACAAATTTTATTTTTAAATTCTGATTAAATTTAATTCAACAAATTTTATTTTTAAATTCTGATTAAATTTAATTCAGCAAATTTAATTTTTAATTTCTAATTAAATTTAATTCAGAAAAATTTATTTTTAATTTCTGATTAAATTTAATTCAGTTAATTTTATTTTTAATTTCTGATTAAATTTAATTCAACAAATTTTATTTTTAATTTCTGATTAAATTTAATTCAGCAAATTTTATTTTTAATTTCTGATTAAATTTAATTCAGCAAATTTTATTTTTAATTTCTGATTATAATGTTTAATTTTTTACTTACTTAGAGCTTTAACACTTTGTTTTGGAGACATTTTATATTATGTATTGTTTGAGTACTATGAACTTTTAATTATTAAAAATGTTTAATGCATGAATTTAGAGTTATTTTTTTGTTTTTTTAGCTTTTATATATATATTATTAATTATTTAATATATATAAATTAATATTTAAATAGCGGTTATCCCGCTCCGCGTCATCCCGCTATCCCAGTTTTAGGGTCGGCCGCTCCGCGCCGCTATCCGGGATTGACTACTATGTATCTGTCAAGAAATAATTCCTGTTCTTAATCTTTCCTCAAGTTGTTTGAAGTTGGGTATACAGTTTAGTGGCTTGATGAGAGTTACAACAAATTGGGAAAGCAGAAAATGTTGCAGGCTGGGGTATTTTTCAATTTATTTAACTATTTAGTGACCATTTGGATGGAAATGAAACAAAAGGCAACTTGTGTCCCATATGTCGTATCACTAATCACTCCTATGTAGACTGATAAGGAAAGAATTTTATATGGAAATGTGAGAAATCAGATAGAACTTACAGCTGGAAAGTATTCAGTTCCATAGATCTAATTATCTAATTTTCTTAGTTCTGATAATTTATATCAACTAACCATTAATATTACTGCAGTGATTCTTTAAGAAAGTCTGGGTTTGTGATCTAGTTTATTTTTAACACCCTCGTGTGCTTAGTTTGTTATAAGACTCTAGTTTTACCCTAAATGGCTTCATGTTTTTGCAACTATGATGATGTCCTGCTTCGGTTTGCATGATTTCAGGAAATGGCAATAAGGATGGACTGTTCTGTGTGCTACTGAGAGACTATAAAGCACATGCTGCTGCATCTTGCATGAATCGTTTGGCTAAATTGAGGTAAATATGTCCGCTTTATGGTTGATAGTAGTGATGTCTGCCTTATGACAGTTAAGTGCAAAATGTTATGAATTAGATTAAAGAAATACTGTATCTTTAAAATTATGCTTTTAAAGTAACCTTGGAATGGTGGATCAAAGCAAGCTTGAGCTATGCTGTCTGATCTGCCTTTGCAAAATCAAACTGATTTTGCAGGGGAAAGCACTTGCACGGAGGGTAGCATCAGTGCCCAAAGTGAGCACTAGTTTCATCCAAAGGGAGGGGTGGAACCTTGTTAAAACAAAAATGCTGCTAAAGTAGAATTTCTGTTAGAAGCTGTTACTTTATGCATATTGTAATATTGTATTTTGCATTTGGATGGGTGGATTTAGGAGCTTCATAAAACAATCTTTTTTACTTGGATGTAGTGCGCGATGGATAGGCAATCATGGGTTCTCGATAGGCATTGAAGATGTCCAGCCAAAAGAGACACTGATCAGAAGGAAAGATGAAACAATTTCAGTTGGTTATGGGAAATGTGATGGTCATATAGAAGAATTCAATAAAGGAAAACTAAAAGTCAAAGCTGGTTGTGATGCTGCTCAATCTTTGGAGGGTGAGATTTCTGATGTATTAAGTGGAATACGTGGTGCGATAGGGAAGGTATTTATTTCTTATTGCTGAAGTAATCTTTATGTGATTCAGACAAATTTCTGCATGTCAACGACTTTATAATCTTCTCAGGTTTGCATGCAAACCCTTCACTGGAGAAATAGTCCATTGATCATGACGCAGTGTGGCTCCAAAGGATCTGCCTTGAATATCTGTCAAATGGTTGCCTGTGTTGGTCAACAGATAGTTGGTGGTCGTCGTGCTCCAAATGGGTTCATAGATCGGAGCCTTCCTCATTTCCCTAGAAGAGAAAAAACCCCTGCTGTATGTTCTATTACCATCATAAACATAACTCAATCCCAAATCCCCGCTCATGCTTAATTCCTAATTTTCTTCTGTACTAATACATATAACTTGGTCTGAGATTGCAAATCTGCATATCTTAATCTTCTCAACTTAAATTGTTCTTGTTAAAATATTAGAAAAATATCTCCTAGTATCAATATCAATATTATATTTGAGTAAATGACGTTATCCCTCTTAGAAATCAGAGTATTACACTACTCTTTCTTTGTATGTCAGAATATACAATTTGATCCATTTACACCCCCTTCTCCTAAGACACGTAAGTATTGCACTATCCTCTATTTATTTGTTAAAATATAGAATAAATTACATTTTTATCCCTTAAAGATATATATGAGTTATATTATCATTGTCTTATTATATTAAAATATATAATTTAAAGTATTTAACTTAAAATTGCTAAAACATATTCATAAGATTTTCAAATATACTTTTGATTAAAATATATGTTAAAATATTTTTAGTTTATTGTCATTCATTCACTTGATAAAAAAATATAAACTATATAATAAAATTTAAATTAATTCATTAAATAACAAATAAATTAGAAATTATAAAATAAATTATATATGTATACTTATGTATATACATCAATTTATATACACACATAACATAATATATAAATTAATATATATATATATATATAATTATTAAATTTTGTAACAATAATATTTTATTCTAATAAAATATTTTCAAAATAAATATATTCATATAAAAATTTGTATATTTAAATATACATATTTTAGCATTATATTTATTAAATTTGATAAATAATACTTTATCAGAATTCAGAAAACACCAATTTATTTAGATATTTATTGAAATAATTTATTAATAACATCAATTAAACAATACCTTAATACTTATATATTTCCTTTAATATATATAATTAATAATTAATACTATATAATGAAGATATTTTATTTAAGTATTTTTAAAAATATTACATTAACTATATTAATTAAATACTATCTTAATACTGGTGTTTGATTTTATTATACTTATATATTTATTATTTTTATTTTGATAACTTTAAAATTATTTTATGAAAGTAATAATTACAACTATTTATTTTAATTATATAATTAGTTTTAGTAAAATTCATAATAATTTTTAAAATAATAATTAAATATGGGATAAATTCTTCAAATGTAAATATTTGTGTTTATTATGGGAGGAATTGTTTATTTTAACACGAGAGGGTAGTGTAATATTTACATCTTTGAGGGGATGTTAGTTTAAAGGTTGTTTTTTTGGTAATAATTTTTTTTTGTAATGGGAGTTAACAGAATTTTACCAAAAAATTTAAAAAATGGGTGAAGTGTCATATATTGGAATCTATTAAGGGCGTAGACTGTAATTTTTAACCTTAGATGGGAGAGTAGTGTAATATTTATATTTCTTAGGTGAGGAGAGTGTAATTTACTCTTATATTTTAGAGTAATTTAGATTATCTTTAGGACGAGTTTTCTTATTTCCTTGGTTTCTTTGTTTTCTTTTGATCTCACGATTCATTGTCATATTTAGTTTGTATTTGATCTAGTATTAGTATAAATATGGATTGGTGTGAGAATACATGAGAATATTGTTTGAAGCCACTCCTTTCCTTTTCCTCCCTCGGTACCTAAAACCCTATAATTTTAAGAAAAAATTTGTTCAACCATTTGATACAGAAGAACATTGTATGTTTTCAGGAACAAAAGTTACCTGGGAAAAGATCATTATTGTTAGACAACAGGAACAAGATACAAATAGGAAGTTAAAAGTGTATTATAGGAAGAAGGGTACAAATAAGAATTAAACTTATTTTATCCTTTGACCTATTAGTTAGGTTTTCGGTAACATTTAGTTAGTTTAGATCCTCTTTAAATAGCCCCTGTTTAGGCTGGGGGAGGGGATATTCATTTTTGGTTTAGTTTCTTAACTGGACAGATTCCAGTGTGAAAGGAGTAGTCTCCTTTGTGTACTTTTTTCCTTACAGTCAATAAACTCTAGGGACGAATAATTCCCTTTCTCTCTTAGTCCTCTTCTAAGCTCTAACAATTATGCTGCATACTGTTAGAATATGAGGGTGATTAGGTTGTTTAGTCTTATTGTATTGTGTATTAGTGTCAGAATATTAGGGTGAGTTTTATATAGATGTTTGACCTAATCATCAGTATAAATAGAAGTATTAGAATGGTCAGTTTCTATTTATTTTCTCCTTTTCAACTTAAACTACAATTTCAACAATAAGCATGGATGATATAAGAACTGAGTAAGTATCAATTCCTGTTTTGAAGAATGATGGAAAATTGAGTCAATTAAACTTGGGTTACATCCATGCAAGTTAAACCAGTTGCGTAGAATGAGCATAAATGCTGAAGGGAAGGTTTGATTAGAATAATTTGACCAAGCAGTGTAAGCAATTAAATGAAATTAGTGGATGATATGATTGTATATGTATGTGCCTGTGTGAAACAACTTTGCCAAAGGAAAAGGGTGTGTAATAAGAGGAGCCTTGTTGATCATACTGCTTCATGTACCTTTGATGTGAGTTACACACAGACACATAAAGGAGAGTTATTTTAAGTACTAACAGTTTGTGTTCATTTCATCATGATGTTGGATCCTTATTGCATGATGCCTTTAATATCAATTGCTTTCACTTTTATTATATGAACAATATAGTAAATTTCCACTGTTGGTTATTGTCTTCATTCCCCATTCCACATTTATTTGTGTGTAACTGAAATAAATTTGCTTTTATAAGTCACCATATCTTTGAATCCTTATTGAATATTGCACCAATTTCTGTGACTTCTGTTGACTGTCTCTGCACAGTTGTAAATTTATTTCTTTGAATATTTCCCTGGTTGTGTTGCAACTCACAGTTGTTTCTTACATTGAATACTTTCACGCTGATATTGATGCAGGCTAAAGGATTTGTTGCTAATTCCTTTTACAGTGGATTGTCAGCTACTGAGTTTTTCTTCCATACAATGGCAGGGCGAGAAGGGCTTGTTGATACGGCGGTGGGGTTTCTATTTTATACATAATATATTCTTAATTAAAAACTTGATTGGACTATTATTTTTGTCCATGATAATTAATGGCATGTGAATCAGGGCTACATGTTTTTCATTTGGATACGAAACTATTAAAATGAAAGTCGTTTTATGATCTTTCTGCTTGTGTTTTTGCAGGTTAAAACTGCTGACACTGGATATATGTCTCGTCAATTAATGAAATCCTTAGAGGATTTGTTTTTACATTATGATTACACTGTAAGAAATGCTGGTGGTTCTATTGTTCAATTTTGCTATGGAGATGATGGCATGGATCCAGTAGCCATGGAAGGAAAAGATGGAAAACCATTAAATTTTGAGCGTTTGTTTCTTAAAAGCAAGGTTTAAAAGCTGCCTTTGTTGTTTTATGTGATTTCATCATTATTGTTTGGACTCTTGTATCTTTCTGAAAATAATGTTTTTTCTTGTTATGTGTATCATTCCCATATATATATAATATATACTTTTGTAGGCGACTTGTCCCAGTGATGAAGATGATGAAATTTTATCTTCCTCAGACATGTGTAAAGTAGTTCATGAAAAGCTCTCAGAATTTAGTATGTCTAGGTTGGTGGAAAAAGGAGTTCTAGAGGATGATATACTATCCTTTATCAAAAAAAGTACAAAATTAACGGAAGCAGCTATCACCAATGACATTTCTCAAAACCTGAAAAAATTTGGGCAGAGAATATCTGGGACCACTCGTAGACAACTAGAGGTATTTATGGTCTTGTTCTTAAAATTGGATCTATTTTTCTTATTAGTAAGCCATTTTTTCCTCATAGTCATTCTTTCATTTTGTCATTGCACTCGTTATATAGTGAGCTAGTTGTAACTTTACTGATTTGGTATTTTGCTTGAACCAATGTTGAGATTTGATAGAGATATTTGAGAGAAAACTGAATGAAAATTTTATTGAATTGTAGTTGTATTCCAAGTACAAATAACTTTATCTATAGAGTATATTGTAGATAAACCCATTGTTACCCCTAGGGTAAAATGTTCCACGAAAAGTTACCTCTATTTTTTGAGCTCTATACCCTCGCACTGTATAGAATTATATTTTATCCTGTGTTCTGTTCTTCCTTTGGAATTCCCTATTTGCATTCTGCTACATTTTTTTTTATCAAATTTGTTATTTACTTTTTCTATTAATATCACCATCATATTTTATTTTTTGACTTACTTGAATATGAATAATTTCTTATTATTGAATCTGAATATTACTCATAAGACCCGCCCGAATCCACCCAAAATAATATTTTTTTATCGGGTTTTTCGGGTTCGGTTCGGGTCTCGATTTAATGTTCACGCCTAATGCTAATAAACAAAGAAGGTCTTGATCAACATAATAAAGTTTTCAAACAAAATAATATTTTTTTATCGGGTTTTTCGGGTTCGGTTCGGGTCTCGATTTAATGTTCACGCCTAATGCTAATAAACAAAGAAGGTCTTGATCAACATAATAAAGTTTTCAAAATGAATAAGACAAACTTTCTAAGATGCAATCTGTCAATAAGATGAATCCTGGTATAAGATAAAAACTACATTAAGAAAACTCTGTTATTGAATAAGATTAACCCTTACTCATAAAAATATATGTGCTTTAAATCTTTATTATTCACGATCTTTAATCAAGAAATTGACTACTGATCGAAACCGTATTTGGTCAAATAAATACAATTAAATGTAGTACTAGGAAGTGACTCCTAGGTCGTCTCCCAAGGACCGTCTTTTACTGTTAAAGGCTTAAACACACAGCAACAAACATCTAGAACAACCTTGTTATGCTTTTCCCATTTAATTGCTGGAAAAGTCTAGTGTAAAACAAAAAAACAACCAGCAAACCACAAAGACGAAGTAAGAATTCAAAAACTAGTCCTACCAGCATACCATATCTCATGTACTGGTTCAACTCATGCATATATCAAAACGAAACATTATTGCTTGGCACTCATTAATAAAACAAAATTTAACAAAATGTCATCGATTTTTATTGGATAAAACAATAATGGATGCCAACTACTGTAATACTAACTCTTTCTAGAGAGGCAACGAGCACTACATTTAACTGCACTAAAATTTCAGCCTCATAATCCATAAGAGAAGTAAAATTCCTTCTTAGTCACCCTCCATCTCCTTCCAATTCTTGTTTTCTTTTCAATATTTAGTCTTTCTCAATAGTGTTTACGGTTTCTCCAACAGTCATATATGGAAAAAAGAAAAAAGATTAAAAGCACATAACATAATTATGATAAATTATGTGAATCCAGATGACATGATTGCATACCTTCTCTATGAACTCATTATAATGATCAATTCCATCTTTAAATTAAGTACCACCACCAAGAAAGACCAGATAAGGCTTCACTACCCAGTGTTGGTCTTTCTTGTACTCCATTGGCTTTGGATAGAGGACGATATCATACCAAATCTTAAAATAAAGGAAATATAAATTCCTTCTCCATTGATTTCATGCCTAGACAAAAGTAAAAATCAAATTCTCATGTATGTTTGAATAAACTTTTCCATTGATACTTATAGAAGAAGAAAATAGAAAGAAAAATAAAATTAGTTTATCCTTACACTAAAATTAATTTATGGATTAGTTAAAAAATGTTTTTGGAAAAATTGGTACAACAAAATTTATACAAATTAACTTTCACATAACGCATAATTTATAGAAAAGTTTGTTTTATTTTTCATCAAATTCTCTTTTCCTATAAATGTTCATGGAAAAGTTTATCCAAACATTAAAAGATGACAATAAACATTAAACACTACTTCCATAAGTATATAAGAAGAAATTGGTGTGTTACAAATCATAAAGCAAATCCTATTGAGAATATAGGTAAAGAGTACAATTTAATAACCTACGTACAGAATATGTAATTGATTCTAGAGTAGTGTACAATTTACTACAATTTACTTGAAAGGGTATTTCGCACTATTTCCTTTCCTTGAACAAGGACGGAGGCTAGCGTGGCTAACAACGCCAAAGTTGTTGGATTAACAGTTCAGGAGTAAGTCTATTTAAACTTATTCCATTCAATAACTCATGTTCTATATCAAATTTTAACAATCTAATTGTTCAATTTAAAATTCTTAATGCATAGATCAAATTTGTAAATTTTTTAAAAAATTGAAAATCATTTGATGTTTCATTTTATTAATTCGAATCAATATATAAAATGATTTTATGATTATTTGTCAATTTGATAGAGTCATGTTTACATATATTTTTTTTATAATATATTTTTCTTATTCATATTAAGTTATTTTATATAATATTATTTTATTCCTTTTGTTTGTTTATAGCAAACTGATTTGGAGTCCATGGATTCCTAAGAATCTTGGCTGATTGACTAATTTGGGGCACTTCTCCAAATTATTTACGTAAATGGGGTTGTTTTTAAACAATGTACACCTTTGGGGCACTTTTTAACGGTGTCGCTATGGGCCATAGCGACACCGGCGACACGTGAAATTTTTTAAGTTCAGGAAAGTCATGAAAGTCATATTTACAATGTCGCTACAGTCCATGACGACAAAAAACGGCTTTAATGAAGTCGCTATAGCCTACAGTGCCTCATTTTTAATATAAAATAAAATATTTTAAAAAAATATAATTAAATAGTTAAAAAAAAATGAATTTGTAAAAGTGGCGCTATGGCCTATAGCGCCACTTATTTAAATATTAAAATACATAAATTTAAAAATAAATATATAGAAAAATAAATAAATTACAGAGAAGATAAATAAAAAAAATATAATTTTATATTACATTCATAATATAAATTAAAATTTGAACAAAAGAAATAAGAAAACTCTAAAAATGGACTAGTGTGTTGAGAAGTTGAATGTGGAAGGAGAAGACAAAATAAATATCTAAATTATGAGAAAAAGCAAAAAAAATAAGTTACAAATTGATGGCTATATTATACTTGAAATAAAGACTTTTAAGTTTGGACCATTGTTGTTTAGTTATACAAAAGTAATAAAAATATAAACTTATCTCATTTTCGGTTGGGTTCGGTTTTTAGTGGGTTTAAAAATTAAAAACCGAACCCGCCCAATATAACCCGTATAAAATCAAAATTTTAACCCGATTTACTCATAAGACCCGCCCGAATCCACCCAAAATAATATTTTTTTATCGGGTTTTTCGGGTTCGGTTCGGGTCTCGATTTAATGTTCACGCCTAATGCTAATAAACAAAGAAGGTCTTGATCAACATAATAAAGTTTTCAAAATGAATAAGACAAACTTTCTAAGATGCAATCTGTCAATAAGATGAATCCTGGTATAAGATAAAAACTACATTAAGAAAACTCTGTTATTGAATAAGATTAACCCTTACTCATAAAAATATATGTGCTTTAAATCTTTATTATTCACGATCTTTAATCAAGAAATTGACTACTGATCGAAAGGAGAAAAAAAACAACAAAAGAAAACCTCAATCAAAAAGCCACAGAAACAGCAAACAATCAACCATGGAACACCGAGGTAGCAACCAATCAACCCCGGAACTCTGAGTCAGCAACCAAACGACCACCAACAGACCACCTAGAGTGTGACCCACAACCTGAAAAGGGTCAAAACGAGAAGAGGGAGGGCCGGCGAGTCCAAGGGAGTGAACCGTGCCGCAAACGGAGGCTGGGAGGGCGGCGCGTGAAGCCCATGCGCCAGCGAGCTTCCTCAACAAGAATCGCGCGTGAGAGCGCTTGAGACGGCGGATGACGGTGGCTCTCGACGGAGAGGCCGATCGGTGACCTCTGAGTGTGCAGGCGGTGTCAACTCCGGCAACTGCGAACAAAACTCGAAAACCCTAGAAACCCTAGATGTTGGTGGCTGGATTAGGGTTCCTGGACCAAAGAGCTCTGGTACCAACTTGAATATGAATAATTTCTTATTATTGAATCTGAATAGGTACAATAAAATAAATAGGCATAAAACATAATCAATCCCTAAAGTTTAGGGATTTAGATAAAACTGACTAAGGAAACTAAACTAGAAAATAGGAGAAGATAAACTAGTATATCTAAACTATATCTTATAGAATTATCTTAACAGACTTCATTACTATGTTCTTATTGTTCCTATGTTAAGGGTATGCTCGGATAAACTTCTTTATGAACACTTCTTAAACAAGAAGAAAATAATAAATAAAATAAGCTTATTCAAAAGCTAAACTTAACTTATTCATAAACTAGTTTGTAGGAGCTTTTTCATATTAATTTATTTAAATGCTAATTTTAAACTTATGGAAAAGCTAACTTTAGCTTATGAAGAAAATTATTTCATTTTTCATTATTTTCTTCTCCAAGAAGTGCATGAAAAAGTTTATCCAAATAGGTGCCAATGGTGATTGTGTATAAACTCTAGCTTATTGTTTATGACAAATTTCTTTTATTTGTTTTTTTTTTAATAAATTGTTTGAGTATTTATATGTGTAGTATAAATTATTCAGTTTGTTTTACAATATTTAAAATAGTGGTGATGGTGATTCATGCTATACCGCAATAGCATTTTCAGAGTTAACAGCCATGTGCCTCTATTTTAGATTGATAACTTTGGTTAATAGAGCAACAAAACAAGCTGACAATGAAGGAGATCTTCTGCCAAAAGTGTGCTAGAAGTTGGCCGGATTTAATTTCCATCATAATCTTAATTTTTGGATGAGTTCATTCACATAATTACTCTATGCAATTTGTATGCTTAAAACTGAATTAATGATATGTTTTTTGATGTATTTTTCATGATGTTATCTTCTGATCTTTCTGGACATTTGTTTTTTAGAATATATGTTTGTTTTGCTATTGATCTTTTTATACTTCCTTTAATTCATGCTATATTCTTACTAGTTTGTGCTTCTATTTACATAGTACCTTATTTTTCAGGTTTTTCTGGATACTTGTCTATCGCGTTACCTATCAAAAAAAGTGGAGGCTGGAGCTCCAGTTGGTGCAACTGGAGCTCATAGTATTGGAGAGCCTGGGACCCAGATGACTTTGAAAACTTTCCACTTTGCTGGACTTGGAAGCATGATGAGTATCCTTTATTTGACCATGTTGTCTACTTTGATAATCACTGATGTTCCATTTAAATACTTTATTGAATGTTGCTCTATGTTGATTGGTCTGGAAAGTTGTCCCTTAATCTGTCATTAGATGTTACTGGTGGAGTTCCTCGTATCAAAGAAATAATAAATGGCAACAAAAAGATCAGTACACCAATTATCATTGCACAACTTGAGAGAGAAGATGATGAAAATATTGCAAAAATAGTAAAAGGCCGAATAGAAAAAACAAATTTAGGCCAGGTATATATATACCTTGATTATCAGTTACTTGATTTTTTGTAGTCTTTAAACAAAAAACAACCTATGCAATTATTGAAATTTTTTCAGCTGTCGGTATTCTTCCAAGTTTGTCTTTATTTTTTGTACATTGTGTAGTGCTCATATTTGGGTGCACATGTCAAGGCAGTATAATTTTAATACAGATTATTATTATCATTATGTGCATACGTGCAACAGTGAAAGTAAATTCCCAGTTGTATTACTGTCGTGTATACAATTAATTAGTCCTTTAGGTATTTTTCTTGTACATCTATATATAGCTGATCTCTTATCTTTTATAAGTGACTAATTCATCGTGTAAGAATACTAAGTTTATTTTTTTGCCTTTTCTCTCTACTAGCTTTTGTATCAGAGTCTATCCTGGATACAAGTACACCTACTATATTATTCACCCACCATATAATCCTGGATACATACATGGTTATACCTTGATTATCAGTTATGTAACTATTTGAAAAAAAAACCAAGTTCTACATTGGCTAGAGATATGTCCGAGTTAGTACATAGAAGTAGGAAACAATCCTTCTCTTACCAGTTGATTTTGTTTTGGTTTACTAGATCCTCTTCTAGTAATTTAACAACTTATGTTGGTGTGTTTTTAAGTTTGTGTTTCTTTGATTCTCTTGTTAGTTAATGTGTCGCATGGTATAAATTTTGCGAAGCATTGGTATCACTTATCGTTTCAATTTTTTCTTCACTTATTTATAAGTAGTTATCATGTATATGTATCAATGTTCTGCCTAGGATACTATTTTCATGTTTTAATTCTTTTGTTAAGCCCTGTCCTGGGGCAGCTATTTCCGGTTCATATTTTAAATATCTGATCTCGAACACTATCATATTGTGTCAATTGATATAGGTTGCAAAAAGTATAAAAGTTGTTATGACTTCAAGATCAGCGGCAATTGTTATAACCCTTGACATGAAAAGGATCGAAAATGCACATCTAAATATAGATGCTAATATTGTAAAAGAATCAATTTTACGCACTAAAAAGACGAAACTGAAGCCAGAGGTAAAGAGTTAGTCTTGTTATTATGATTTTCTTTTCCTTTTATGCCTACAATGTTCAAAGTTTCTGTTGATATGCAGCACATCAAGATTTTAGATATTAAAAAGCTTGAAGTTGTTCCCCAAGATGCTGATAGAAGTAAAATCCACTTTCAGCTTAATTATCTAAAAAATTTGCTACCGTCAGTTGTAGTAAAGGTATGTTCAATTGACTTACTTTATGACTGATACCCGATGAAGGCAATATTATGTTTGCATTGTTTGATTTTATAGTTTTTCATTTAGGATTAATTACACATTTTGCCACTTGTCTTTCATGATTGTGTCAATTTTGTGACCCAACTATATTTGCACAATTTGTCACGTGCATAATTTCACACATCAGCATGCTGTTTAAAATTTAAGGAACATTTAACATTGGGGCAAAATGTGCAAAATTATATAATTTTGGTGATAAAATGTGCTAATAAAATAGTTGGTGGCAAAATTCCCGAATGTGTGAAAGATGATGGGTGACAACAATGTGCAATTGAACCTGGTATTTATTTCCAGATAATCTGATGGAAAAACACGTCTACCTTTTATTTCTTAATTGCAGGGAATTAAAACTGCAGGTCGTGTTGTTACCAATAAAAAAAAGGATAAAGAGACTGGGAAAGAAACTGGAAAGATGGAATTACTGGTGGAAGGGTTAGTTCATTCTGTTTTTCATTATGACTTTATGTTCCTTCAATCCACTTTAATTAAATGCTTGGATGCATATTATACGGATTTTTGGAGTTGCGAATTTAGACCGAAGAGTTGCCAAAGTGAACTTAACACATTGGTTAATGTTAACCCTGAAATATTACGACTTTGCTTATTTATTGGTAATACACTAACAGTGTAAAATATTTTTTATATTATCATCCAATCACAACTCATATAAATGATAAGTTTGTTGACTTTTATAATAATTACCTTAAAAGTTATACAAACTATGATTTTTGATTGGTTGTTCGTGTAAAACATTTTATACTAAGTGTATCACCATTAAATTCAATCATAATATGATCACAGGGTGCAACATCCTGCAGGACTTGAAAACTTTGACAGTGGCCAGTTCTATTTTTGAAAGTGGAAGGTGAACTTGGGCTATTTAAAAGCAGGAATACTTTTTAATTATATATTTATCTCTACACCGTTAAGGATTAGTGATGAAAGGATAAAGAAAACTATCGTCAATCTGAAGCAATAATTTTTTCTGTCATGGCATTCCTTTGTGTGGTTGCTTTTTTAATTAACTTTATTTCCTGATCTGCATGTATTCGTTTTTGCCCCCTCAGCACGGGCTTGCAAGAGGTTATGGGAGTTGATGGGGTTGATGGACGTAATACTGTTACTAATCATATCCATGAAGTGTGGATCACACTGGGAATTGAAGCTGCCAGAAAATGTATTGTTGATGAGATTATGGAAACAATGAAAACAATGAAAATAGACATACGCCATATGATGCTTCTAGCAGATGTGATGACTGCCACGGTAAGTTCTTTGGAAATTATTCAGCAAAAGAAAAAACTAATATGACCTTATCTGCATTTGTGCTAAATGTCTGTTTCCACTGATGTATCTAATTTTCCAAATTAGGGTCATATCCTCGGAATAAATAGATTTGGAATTTCAAAGATGGGTAAAAGTGTATTGATGCTTGCATCATTCGAGAGGACAGCGGATATTCTTTTTCAGGCATCTGTTCGTGGGAGGGATGACTCTATTGGTGGAGTAAGTGAATCCATAATCATGGGTATACCAATTCAGATAGGTACAGGAATGATCAAGGTCAAACAAAGGTGAGTCAAGATTGCAATGTTTGTTAATGTGGTTACATAATAATTCGTTTTAATGGAAGTCCTGTTTGGTGTACATGCATGCATGAAGTCTGTTGTGATTAGCTTTGTGATAGGAATTTTGGGGCTATGTCAATATTGCCTAAGAGGGGCTTCTGTAATTTAAAGATAAAATTATACAAATTAAATCATTATTGTTAGATATATGTCATTCATGAAACTCTACATGAAAGATTAAGCCTTTGGAAGTCCTTGACATTTGACAAGGTATTAGAGCCTAGTGGTTAATGGTCATAACTTTAGCCTTTGCCATCCTCATTTTTCTATGGTTGAATGTTGTTATGTCCATATTTCTAACCAATGTAATACTAGGGTTGCACACACCTCCCTTCACTTTCAAGACTAGATATCTAGAATGAAAAGTTTACGAGACATTTGCAGGTAGCTCAATATTAAGAGTGGATAGGCTTTGATATCATATTAGAAATGGATTACGCCTAACTCAATCCATATTTTTTATTTATCTGATGTTTATGATGCATTTTCAGTAAAATATCGTTAAATTTGTATTTCATAAAATAGGTTGAGTATCTATATATACAACTCACATTATGAGCTTTTATTTAGCAACAATAGTAGCATGTTTCTTCCTTTTCTGAACTCCTTTCGTAGGTCACCATAATATAATATGCTTTCTATTCGATTTAGATTTTTGGATCATATTTGCTTTGCATCATGGTTCTTACAACAGACTTTGGCTAATCCCTCTTGGCTCTTTCTTAGGTTGGATATTCCAGAGTTGCCACATGGAGCCAGTCCTATTCTATCTTGAATTTGAAATTGCATATATTGCAGCAAGAATGTGGATCATCCTTGTTGGTGTGCATTGGATGTTGTCAACTTATGTCGGGGAATTCACTCATAATTTGCCAGAAACAATTGCAGAACCTTTCTTTGCATGCATGAGATGAAGTTTCTTGGCTTCCGCATGGTCTTCAACCATCAACATAGAGTTGAAGCACAAGGGATAGGGAAGAGGAGACATTATTTTTATCTCAGCATGATTTGTATATTTTTGCCAAATATTTTTTTTGTGAATTTTAGTATTTTATAAATCCCTAAGTACAGCAAATAAGAGATTTATTTATGTACTTGTATTGAAAAAAGGAATTTGTTGGCACGAGTACAAAGTTCAGTGCATGTATTCATACACAGCCCGTGGAAAAAAAATCTAATTGATCCACGCCACTCCGTAACTGTACCAATTTAAATTTAAATCAATTTTTGGTTCATGATATATACATCTTTTTTTTTTTAAAATTAAAATTTTAAAATAGTCTTGATATATTTTTTTTATTTATAATTTTTAAGTTTTTAATTTTACATTCTAACGTTTAATTTAACACTTTGCATATAGATGTTATGGGTCAATTTTTTTCCCATCTCGAAATTTCTTCCGTAAAGGAGCCGAATGAAACAAAAGTTTCACGTTCGGTTTTGAATCGGACGGTTTTGAATTGGAGAGACGTTAAATCAAAATGATGAATCAACGTCGACTATAACCCCTAGCCTTCCAAGCTAACGATGCGGGTTCGATTCCCGCTACCCGCTTTTATTCCCTATTTTTTCTATTTGAATCTATCTTTTTTATTAGAATTATAGAATGAATTCAAAATTTTTAATGAATTTATTAATTTTGTTTTTGAGATCTTTAATTTGAGTAATGTCTTACAAAAAAATTAAGAATTTCTTAGAAAACTAAAATTTGAACATTTTCTAAATTTATAAGTTCAGATAAGTCTTACAGGGTCAATTCTCAATTTCAATATTCAAGTTTTCTAACGGAAGATTTTCATTTCAGACCCGGACTCATGAAAGAAGCCTTCTTTCTCTAGTAGGAAATCAAACACATCTGGAAGGCTCGCGTAAATAAAAGAAACTACCCTCGATCCATGCCTCAAAAGGGTTGATAATAAGTCATAAAAAATAAAAATGACTTTTCCACGTCAACAAAGTCCAACGAATTAGCACTACATTACTTCATCGATTGAAACTCTCTAAAGGAAGAAGCGAACTTCCAGCCAACTCGACCGGGAATTCCTCTTTCTTTTTGTCTACTAGACATTCCACAAAGGAAAAGAATGATGAAAGGCCAGGAACAGGAAAGAGTTCCCGCCGTGCAGAATATCGGTATTTATATATATTCTTTATAATTTTTTTCATCATTGACCGGGTGAGGCATACCATACATCTCTTTTATCTGGGGCAGATAGACCTAGTTAAAAGCCCTTCTTTCACTCACATCTGGTACCGTGGAGCAGTACCTAGGGAAAGGATCAAGACCATAGGGGAAGTGGGAACAAGCTCTTCGGAACGGATACCCATCTCTTTGAATCAAACCTTTCCAGGATGCTCGCTTCCAAGCATTTAGTGCCATGTTTTGTTACCTGACTACTGTTCTCTGACCTCTAAAGTAAAGGAAAAGAAGCATACTTGAAGGGCCCATAGAGAATAGCCCCTACGGACACCATCTATCAATCGTTCCATCTCCGCTTTCCCCAAAAGGAAGAATCTGGCTTATCCTATTATCTTTATGCCAACTGTATTGAACTCAATCATCACATTATGGTTACACCACACCATTCGAAAGACTCTAGTTAAAAGCCCTTCCTCCTTTCTATACGCAATACTTCGTCTAGCCCCGATTCTTTTCCCCCCTCGTAGATTTGATGTGGGACTTGAGTTTTTTCTAATAGGAGCTTTATTGCCATTTCTTCCTTCTCCCCTTTTCACTCGCTTCCTCCCGTCTTTTACTTTTTTTCGAGTAGAGCTCATTCGATACCAGACAAGCGCTCATTGGCTACCAGAACTACTTAGATCAGATCTTGGCTTCCTAACTCCTATTTTTTTACACATTTCTTTTTTTCCTTTTATCAATTTTCATACGCATTCAAAATGTAAAATTAGCTTTTAACAATATTATAAACGTGTGACGTTTTTGATAGTATTGAGAAGTGTTGAACCAAAAGTGTATTTATTTTAGCATTTTTTCTATTTACATGTATAGAAAATACATCAAATAATTTTAGTTTTTTCATAATAGTAAAATTAATGTAATCGAAAATGTTTTGAAATTGAGTTTTTAATATTTTTTTGAAAAATATTTTTTGGAACATTAATTTAATTATTTTAAAAAATATTTTACAGAAGTGTATTTTTTACATAAATTTAAAAATTTCTTTTCAGAATAATAAATTTAATATTTTGGAAAGTATTTTTTAAAATTTTGTAAACTAACATACTTCTATAAATTACTTTTCAATATTAACTTTATTATTTTAGAAAATATTTTCCGAAAGTATGTTATTTTACATAACTTCAATAAGTACTTTTTGAAATACTTAATTTACTGTTCTGGAAAGTACTTTTCGAAAGTATGTAAAAAATATAATTTAAAAAAATTCTTTTTAGAATACTAATTTCATTATTCTGCACAATACTCCAGAATATTGAAAGTATTTTTTTATAATATTAAATTTAATGTTAAGATTTTTGGAGGGGTGAAAAAAGAGGAAATGTTCAAAGAAAAAATGTGTGTTTAGTACGATAGAACATGTTGAGAAAGTCGCACGTAACTACAATGTTGTGACATATTAATTCTATAGTTTGGGTACATGTGAAAAAATTAAGGAAAAAAGAGAATAATGTAAAAATTAATAGGTGCAAAATTAGAGCAAAATAAAATGATATATATAAAAATTAAAAGAGGGAAGCAAAGACATGTGTGAAAAAGAAGAAAAAAAAAGTAATAAATTAAAAGTTGGAGGTATAAAATTAAAAATTAAAAACAAAAAATAAATTATAAATATTTTAGAAATTAAAAGAAAAATTAAAAAAAATGTAGTTATTAAAAAAAGAAGACATATATATCATGAGCAGATCAATTTTGATGATGAGTGATAAGGGTAGTACAAGTGGTTTGGGGGGAGGGACATAGGATTGGAGTGATAAGGAGGGTATGGGTTTGAATCTCCCCACTAACAACAAGCAATTAACAATTAACATTTGTCATTAAAAAAAAAATCAATTTTGATGGATTGATTTTAGTGTCGAGATCCATATTTTAGGTTCTAATTAAATAAGTGTGCTCCTTTTGCAATTGTTTAAACCGAAATCGATTTTGTTTCAGAAAAGAAATATATATTTTAAGAGTTGTTACAAGGCATATATTATGATTCAAATTTATAGCAATTCCATGAAAGAAACAACGGCCTGATCGATCCCAGCCATGCGCGCTCCTTCCAACATAGTATTTCTTAAATGAAATATAATTCACTTAAATGTTTACAATTCACTTCTAAGTTCTAACGCATTAAATTCGCTTCGGGAGAGAAAATGATTATTTGTAATATATTAAAAGATAAATTAACAAAATGAAATGTAAAAGAATAGTGTGATTGTTGTGAGCATTTGGAATTGGGATACACTCGCAGTTGCAGCAGCAATCGGCGGCAACACCTCCGATGGATTCAACAGCACCACCGCCAAACCCTAACCCTAAAGATCCACCGTCGAAGGAACATCACAGAGACCTATTGAACCACGTGGAAGCTTATCTCGCGAAGCGCGACGGCGTCGATAAGCTTCTCAAGATTTCGCGCTACGCCACCAAGCTCATCCTCGCCTCGTCGCTCCTCCACTCCTCCGACCCCGCCCTCACGCGCCGCCTCAAAGCGTTCGAGTCCAGCGTCGGCGTCAGCCGCAAGGCCTTCCGACTCGGCAAGTTCGTGCAGGACCTCAACGCCCTCCGAACCTCCGACCACCACCAGCAGCACCGCCACCGCCTCCTCCTCTCCCTCCTCGCCTACGGCGGCGAAGGCCTCTACTACTTCCTGGAGCAGTTCGTGTGGCTCGCCAAATCCGGCCTCATCGATCCCAGCCGCGCGCGCTCCTTGCAGAAGGTCAGCGCGTGGGCGGAGCTCCTCGGCTACGTCGGCAGCATCGCGCTGAAAGTGGGCGATTTGAGGGCCATGGCGGAGGAGGAGACGTGTCTGAGTTCGACTTTGGAGATTTCGGAGCTGAGAGGGGTTTCGTGTGCGGAGGAGGAAGGGAGGTTGAGGAAATTGAGAGAGAAGAAACTGATGAAGAGGCTTTCTGTTGTTCAGGATTTGGCGGATGCCATCATGGCCGTTGATGATATATTGGATGGCAAGAGTTCGTTTTCCAATCCTATTTTGATGGCTTCAGCTGGACTTCTGTCTGCGCTTATTAGCACTCACAAGAATTGGCTCTCTTGTTGAAACTTGGATGGAAGGAATCCAATTTTGATGGCTTTTCCACACAAAACATGTAAGGAATACACATAGGTATACTGTATACGCCAAGAGAGGATGGTTCTTGGTTGCTTTGTTCTGCTTATAGTTTTAGATTTATTGCTCAATGCTCATTCATGAATAAGAATGGCCATCATTCTTTGCTTTATTCTTTTTGTGGCTTCATTTGGTATGGTTTAGATTTAGATAGGAAAGAATCTTGTTAATTAGCTTCTGCTTTGTGTAGAATTGTGTGGTTTATTTGTGGGTTTTGTTGAGAGCTAACACTGAACTACAAAATGGAATGTTTAGACGGGGGGATAGTGGATTGTGTATATTCTTTACATAACCAGTGTGGCTTTCCAGTTCTCATCTATTTTACTCAACACAACACTGGCATTTAAAAGGAGAAGGAAAACAAATATATGGATTGTATTCCTGTGAAAATTGATTTGGAATGGCTGTTGTTGGATGCAAGAAACAGTTTGGGAAAAGGAGGGGGTTGCAATTTGCATGATTACTTTTATCATTGTCAAGATGAACTAGAAATATAACCTTCTAGGCTCGATTTAGATTGTTTGCACGAATTCTTAGATTGATATCTCATTGCTACATTGTGCACACACACAAAAAAAAAAAATGCACTGACAATATTATGTCTCTTGTCACAAATAGAATAAACTGTCAACTTCATTTTTAAAGTATTAGCCTTTCTCCTAAATGATCATTAAAGTAAAAACACTATATAAGTAATCCTGCAAGTAATAGAAATTATGTTAGGTAGTCTTCTAAGTATTAGAAAATCCTTCAAATTGGTCCATGAATGTTAGTATAAGATATTAACCTAAGAACTAATCGATGGATTTTTCAATACTTTAGGGATTACTTATATAGTTTTAGTATTACTGCTCCAGGGACTATTTAAGAGTGAGAGTATTACTTCGAGGACCAAATCTAAATTAATGGTTTATTCTCACAAATATATTGAAACAACTGGAAGGGTATTTTTGTCCTGAAGGGTTCTGTTTCGGGCTTCTGTCTAGTGTGAGTAGGAGGAAAGTTGACTTCCTTAGCCATTCCTACTTCCTCGTTCTTTTTTTCCATTGGCTACATTATTCAACAAGACTTGTTAGCGGACCTGCGTCTCTGCTACATGATGGGAAAATTGGCTGCTTACTGACCTGAAAATTTTCCTCACAAACTTGCTTTGATCATGTATTACTGTCCCCAACCTTGTTGGCATATTGCAACTTCTATTGATTGATGTTGGAGAATGGGGAGTTTCTCATTTGAGAATGTCTGTTATTCAATCTGTGGACTCCTCACTTGCACAAGCTAGTGAAACATAAAAAGTGGGAAGGCTTTCTCAAACGTTGGTTTGAGTTTTTTAGTTTCTTTTCGAGGGTTTGGTGTCAGTGTAAGGACTGTACGTTGCTCTTGTGTTGTAATACCTGGTGGGGGTGTATTCATAATTAGGGACTTTTCAATCAATTAACATGATGTAGGTATTAGTTGACTGATAAATGCATACACTTCTACAATAAAATAAAAATGCCTCGTTAATAGATTTATAATAAATTAATAGTATAAAAGGTAAGTAATATATTTAAAAATAATTTTATGTTTCTTATAATTAGATTAAAATAAGACAACTATTTGTTTTTTATACAGAGGAACGGAAGTATAACTCATCAATAATGATTTAGCATTTCAAAGGTTTAGTATCTAAATGTTTTATTGGGCCAACGCCTTTTAATGGACGTTGGGCCTCTCCAAATGCAGACCCAGAATACAATCATATTTGATTGACAAATCTCAGATATACCACATTATGTTTTATGCATGTCAATTGTTAACCACATTCTTTCATATAAACATTGCTTCAAAAGCATAATGCAACTTTTAATGACAAAAAAAAAGAACCAATTGTGAAATCCTTTATTTATCCAGCATGTGGTCTTTTGTTGAAAATATTAAAGCAGTATCGTGATCGAGAATATTGATTATAGAAGGGATTAAAACACGATAACTACTAATCACCACACTAATATCGGTAACAAAAAAGATATCCATTGTATATTACTTTTATTTTTCAAAGATTCGAAAGCTGTTTTTCATTAGATGTGTTTACTAGTATTTATGAACTTTTTTTTTCCTTTTAAACTAAAATGAAAATCAAGATACTTCCATTTATCATTATGATGTAGATTTATTGATTATAAAATATAATAAGTGCTGACATCGCGGCGATCGGCTTATTTCCCTTAAGATTTTTTTTTAAAAAGTTGTTGAAAAATAAATAAATATTTCACACTAATTAAATGATAATTCTTAAAATAAAAAAATAGTGATAGATTAAGTTTTGAAAATGTGAAATTTGAGAAAATTTGTCATACATATTTCAATTTCAAGCAGAATTAAATATATTTTTAGTCTCTATAAAATGAACAAGTTTTGATTTTAGTCACTTATAATTTTTTTTTTATCATTTTTCTTTCCTCTAAAATTTAGAAGATTAGTATATAATCATTTTTAACTATTTATTTATTTATAAAAAAATCAAGTGATAATTCCAGTGTTACACACAATTGTTAATGATAATGTTAGTGTGTCACACTTCTAAAATAAACCCTAAACCAAAAATAAATATTTTTAGATTTTAAAGAAATGAAAATCAAAGAAAAATATTTTATAGGAATTAAAATCAAACTTCACTCATTTTACATGGAGCAAAAATATTTTTCAAGACCAAAAATAATATTTATAAATTTTTAAAAAAATGAAAATTAAAGAAAAAATATTTTTATATTTATTATTTTTAAATATAATTTTAAATAAATAATAATTACATTTAATAATATGAATATATTTAAGTCGTAGGGTATTAAAACATTATATTAAAGAAACTATATTTATCACAATAATTTAATGAATATTTTATCACTATAATTCAATACATTGCATGCTTAATTAGTTTAATAATAATATTGTAGCACATATAATGTACCTTATAATTATTTATTTTATATAATTAATTTTATAAAAAAATAAACATTTTTAGTATATATTGTATTATAATCAACATATATACTAT